GTGTATTTGAGGACGAATAAATAAGGCTTGAGCCAAGAGCTTCGGTGACCAAATCCAATTTTTGGCAAAAAATGTCAGTTACGCGGTTTTGCAGAACGGTGGTGCGCGCTGTTTTGTACTATGAACGACGATATGTACATATGTATATACCCATACAGATGCGTATGCATGATTTTGGATTTACATATGTGTATCAAATTCCGGAAGTTGTAATTGTTTACAGTAAGCCAACTTATTATTTATCGACTAATTTTAATAAAACCCCATTAACATACATACTTGCCAAAACATTTATGTATCAATAGATACAGTATTGTCCAATACAATAGCACCCCTATTACAAAGTGTGAGTTTGGCACTCATGTTTATTTATTTTTAGGAACTTTCAATTAAAATACAGTTCGTTCTCCAACAAAACGCATATAAACCTAAAAAAAAAAAAAAAAAAAAAATTGNTATTATTTATCGACTAATTTTAATAAAACCCCATTAACATACATACTTGCCAAAACATTTATGTATCAATAGATACAGTATTGTCCAATACAATAGCACCCCTATTACAAAGTGTGAGTTTGGCACTCATGTTTATTTATTTTTAGGAACTTTCAATTAAAATACAGTTCGTTCTCCAACAAAACGCATATAAACCTAAAAAAAAAAAAAAAAAAAAAAGTAGAAAACTACAAAAAATACAACAAATTTTCACCCAATGTTCAAACCTTTTTCTCAGAAGTGTAAGAATTTTTTTGAGAATATTAGTCCAATAGTGTGAAGGTTTTAAGTGGCTAAAAATTACCGTTGATTTTTTAGAATTTTTTCGCCNGTATCAATAGATACAGTATTGTCCCATACAATAGCACCCCTATTACAAAGTGTGAGTTTGCCACTCATGTTTATTTATTTTTAGGAACTTTCAATTAAAATACAGTTCGTTCTCCAACAAAACGCATATAAACCTAAGTTTAAAAATTTTTAGAAAACTACAAAAAATACAACAAATTTTCACACAAGGTTCAAACTTTTTTCTCAGAAGTGTTAGAATTTTTTTTTGAGAATTTTAGTCCAATAGTGTGTAGGTTTTAAGTGGCTAAAAATTACCGTTGATTTTTTAGAATTTTTTCGCCGAAGGTGTTTCTGGTTTCTTCCATATTCGTTATATTGAAGCAACACTACAACCGTTTGTCGGTTTGGGCCGAGACCAAAAAACTTCTCCAATTGCTTCTCTCCTGCGCGAATTTGCGTCGTCATCCACAAAAGCCGGGCCGTAGATCTTGCGTAGAATAGTTCTCTCGAATGCCCCAAAGCATTCTTATCTTTTTTCGACATCGTCTAAATTTCTGCGCCATATAAAAGGACTGGCATGATGAGAGATTTGTAGAGCGTAAGTTTTGTTCGTCGGTACTTTGTGTTGCCCTCGTTCACCGCTAGATAAACCTCTAGCTTTTTTTTCTACACTGGTAAATGCTGCGGTTACGTCCTTTTGTGTAGTATTTTACAAAGTTTAAAACTTGAGTTTATATGGGTTTTGTTAGAGAATGAAATGTATTTTAATTGAATATTCTTAAAAATTAATAATTCAGCATATGTGGCAAACAATATCACTTTGGAATGGGGTGCTATAGATATGGCCAATACTATAAGTACAAATGTATATGTAATTGTATGTACGCTGGTTTTCAGGTTCAATTTCTGCTGGGAGCAGCTGGTTTGGTAATGATTGGATGGTACTGTCATCGAAAATATAATATCGGCATTATTTCCATGATTATTGGTGCTGTAATTTGTTTTGGATATTTCCATACATATTTGGAGTGTAATCGTGTATGTAATAGTATGCAGTCAAACTTTACTTTAAATATCAAAACTTACATAAATCTGTAGAAACTGGAAGCTGAACGTTTATTGGAAATGCTTGCACGTCATGAGCAACAGGAACCGTCGGAGCCCAGTTGGTACAGATCGATTGTAAACTTTTTTACTTCCAGCGAACAAAGAGAGAAACAAGCGAAGAAGGAATATATAAAGTTAGTGTTGACGACCTGCGTTCACGCTCAATTAATTGTGAATATTTGTTTATTTTTGAATTTATCTAGGCAATCGAGTCAACTGAATTTAGGTTTCTGTCGTCCCGATCATGTTTTCCTGATGTATGCAAATGATTTGTTCCTAAAGCAGTTGGGATTTTTAATGGATAAATGCGCAGAAACTATGGAAGTACTTAAAGGTATCTGGTTTATAATACTAAAGCCCTGCAAATGTATATGACAATGAATAAATTGAATTGCAGACAACTTAACCTTTCCCTTCAACTATTTGGCATCTGTTCTCTTGGTGGTTTTGATTGGCTATATTGTAAAACTGACTTTCAAGTACATACTAAGTCCCCGTGCTTGGGCAGGTGTATGGCAGGCACCTCAAATAGGTATACGCACGCCACATCATAATGGGCTTCCCACAGGTACGGCACACCATGAAGATCGTCTTTCGGGCGAAAACTTAAGAATGCTTTTGAATGCCATTAGCGGCGGCACGACGACGTCGAACAAGATTACAATCAGCAATACAACTGTCACAGCGCCCTTGACGGAATCACCGGAAACGACTTCTGGGGTACAAGAGATACTACTCTCCTTAGAAAACGGTAGTAATGCTGATACTGCATCGGACGAGTCGTCCATGTCAGAGGCAGCAGCACAGAAGTCAAAGCACAACTCGCCACACAAGCAAGTAGATGAAACCGATAATAATAATGGAGTTGAAAATCAATTTGATGTATCAGATGACGGTGATAAGTCAAAAACAGTTAATGGCGTTTTTTGTTCTACAAAAAAAGTTGCCTATCCATTGCCATATCCTTAGTATTTGTGCGTAAGGCACTGTGAAGGCAAAATTTTTTAGTAGAAAGGAAAATGCCATAGGCTGCAGTATGAATTGTATGAAAAAGCGTAGCATTTGTATTGCTATTGCTAAGACATTGGTTTTTACAATTTATACTTTCTATTTATTTAAATGAAATTTTTTTCCTTAGATGCATCGCAACAAAAAAGATTAAAAACGCTTAAGTGGTTTAAGGTATTCACTAAATTTGTATTCAGTAACGCCGCCAAGCGAAAGTCAGTTAATTAATTTTAATATAATATAAGAAGGCAAAGTAAGATATTGTAAGTTACTGCAACGTAACCAAGTAAAGTATAAAATAGTGTGATACGCGTATATTGTGTTAATGCTAGAAGCTATTTTTTTATTATTTCTGAACAAATATTGTAACTATTTTAAAAAGAAAGGCAACTATAATTGTGTGTTACCTCGAATTTAGCAAAAAAACGCAAATAAAAGTGAATTAAAATGGTAATACTACTTTTGGATTGTCCATCAAATAACAAACAACGTTAAATTTTAATTCGATTATTAGATTTTTATTTCAACTATTATTTTTAAATCTGTTTGTCACAATGTTTAATATATGTATATTTATGTTTCCATCTGTTCATATGTGTTTAGATAAGTCTAGTATTCATGTGAGGTGTATGTATATTTACCGCCATTAAGTACAATACACACGTACGCTTTGCTTAAAATCTTTCCATGTAGGTATCGATAACATATGTACATACATATGTTTTATGATTTCTGTTATACATATACATATGTATGTATTTGTTTTGTATAAGTTTTTCTTATGTTATTTAATTGTTTGCGTACTTAAATTCATTTATTTCAAATATGCATGTATATAGCAAATAATGCGCTTTGCTTAATCTGTATACAACAGCTTTAGAAAAAAATATAATACTTATGTGAGTGTGCTTTTATTACTTCTAAATATGTTAAATATGTAGTACAAGTTGTTTTAATTTTACAACGCTTTTATTTATATATATGTATATTTGCAACCACTTACATTCATACATATTATCAAATTCAATAATTATGGCTTGAAATCTATGAAATGCAGAGCCAGCGAATGCGTTAAAGCACAAATGAAATATTACGTACTTAACTTTTACATGCATGTCGATCATAAATAAAAAATGCAATTGCAAGATTTCACATTTTACTATACTACATTTTTAATGCTATTGCGTTTGCCTACTACTCTCCATCACTATTACGAAAAATCTACATATGCTGTTTTTAATTATATAATGTATAACTTGTATTTTCCTTTTGTGTATATAATTTTTGCAATTTAGAATTACATACATATAAATTAATATTCTATTTATTCGTTGTATTTTAAATAAGTTAGTGTGATGTTACATACATATCTTCACGAGCATTTATCCGGTAAAATGTTGCGTACTGTACGGATTCGATTCGTGGCTGTTTTCCGAACAAAATTTGAACATAACATCACACTTATTAGATTTTCTAAACCCTATCTTTTACTATTATTATTATTGCGAAAATGCGAAATGCTGAATACCTTTTACCTTTTTTTCTAAAAATGAATAGCTGTTGCAATTAAAAAAGGGTATCACCATGGGAAGTAAATATGTTGTTATTAGCAACTGATACCTGCTGCTGGTATAATAAAAACAAAGTTTTAATTTCTGTGCATTTATTTAAGCAATTACTTTAACTGCCTTATCTATTACGAGTGATTCGTAGGCAGACGTCATCGTTCCTCCTTGCAATTTTGTAACTCTATCGTTCGTGTTTGTCTTGCTTTACGACTATTACGTTCAACTCGTCACGCCAAGTGCAATAGTTATGGTGGGCATCTGGATCAACAATTACTCACTGAAAATTCTTACAAAAGTTGTATTTTTTATAAAATGCTAAAAACGAATTTTCGTCCCATATAGTGGGCTGTGGTTTAGCGATTTATTTCTTCAACCTAAGTACCAAATCTGTGTTTATTATTTACTAGCAGGCCCGGCGAACTACGGCGTACGCCCAAATTGAATTTTTTTTATCGAAACATTTTGGTCCAACATTTGCACCAACAATTCACATTCGCGATTTCCAGTGGACATTTATCTGCTAAGATTATGGTTTGGTGGACGTCAAAAGCAATATTTCCATTGCCCTCTCAAATAACCTAACGAAACTGTTATGTACGTGAGGAAGTTCTTGAAATTCTCCACACGCGCTTCATAGCACAGTTAATCGCACAACGAAATAAATTCGAAGAACTTTTTCCTCTTCACTCCCTGACAGCAACAATGATCCGATCGATGGTTAATCTGTCCTCGAAACTACTACATAGTACGGTGGTTGGTGAGTATCGTTGTTCAACATATATCTTTTTTCAGACGGAATACCTTAAATGTCTTCTCAAGGAGCGCAAGGGTGGCTTATTTAACGGTGGTAATTTAAAATTGACTTCCAGGCAATTAAATCCTGGTGTCTCCGAGTGAAGCTTTAACGCAAAGTAATATTGTCAAATCACATCCATTGGACCAATTGGAACACACGGTAGTTCGACATACTCAGTGATCTAATACGCCGATGTAATATTCAAAGTGAAAATTCTTCATTTGAGCCGTTTATCTTGAAAGTGGCAAAAGCCACATTGTGTTTTTAAATTGATATATGTACATACATATGTAACCGTTTGCGTTTTAACACGTTTAAAAAAATATTGATGCTAACTTTCGAGAAGTTTTACTTGTATTTGAAAATTTATTATAATCATAGAAAAATCACCACTTTTATAGTTCTGAAAAATGACTGACTTACATCAATTTTGTTTGATGTATTTTACTGAAGCGATGCTTTGAAATGACAGTGACTTACTAAAATTGATGATTAAGTTACATATATAATAATAATAATTTATACCATGTATGTACATATGTATTTTATATAAAGGTTTATTCAATAAAATTGTAACATCGTACAACAAAAACAAAAAGTTTTAAACACAAAAAAAAAAATCAATATACAACTCGCAAAACTTGGAGCCAAATATGGTAAAACTGCGTTTTAAGTTCTTCTCTCTTAGGTGGGGATTTTTAGTTAAAAGGAATTTGAAATTTCAAAAAACTTATTTAAAAACTAGTAAATACTCGGCACGCATCACTGCGCCTTAAATGTTTTTGTGCTGTTTGATACCCATATTGTAATATTTCATTTATTTTTCAAACAGGAGGCAACCTCCCCCAGTAGACTTTCCTACCCCGCTCCTGTTTGATGCCAATATTGCAATATTAAATGTATCTTGTCAATTAAATTGAATAACAATTTTCAAACAGGTGGCAACCTTCAAGAAAAATATGTTCAGCTGTAAGCCTTCTTCAACACCTTTATTTTGGCAGGCATATTGTAATATTTACTTTATCTCATTAATTTACTTTATCTAATGTAAGAAAAAATTCTTTAGAATATAAAAACATAAAATTTTTTTGATTTGAGACTAATCATACCTTTGAAGTTGCAAAGTCTCTTAAAAAGTCCTGACGCCAGAGAAAAAAATAAAAACCCAGTTTTACTATAGTTTTTTTCGTGTGTAAAATTGACTTTTGCCAGGTGTAAACAATGTTATTATTAACCTGATTTTTTAGTGACTTATGCCACTTTCAAAATAAACAACTCATGCTGAAACTAAATAGTTTAAATTGGTTGTTTGTGAAATTCGTCTCGAAGTAAGGCGCTATGACTTTTGTGGTATTAAAACACTGGTGATACACTTCGCAACGGGTAATGCCGCCTTGACTTGTACTGTACTAGTATGAATGAGCGAATTAATGTTTAGCAATAAACCTTAATAAAAAATTTAAGAGTTTTGGTTTTTATAAAAATGGATTTTACATAAATAAACAAAACACTTTATTGACCCAAATGTAGGCAAAGGATTTTTTTAAATCGTTCCAACTTCTTTTTTTTTATTGATTTTTTATTCTAACCTTTTCAATCGCTTATTGTTCATTAAAAAATGAAGTGAATAGAAGCTGAGCTTGATTATTTGACTAAGTTTTTATTTTATATATATATTTTTTTTGTTTGTTCTACGCGTGTATAGAGTGGCAAATTTACAATCTAATAGCTGCTTTTGCCTGAAAAAATCTAATATCCCGCAATCTCTAGGAATGCAGGAGAAAAGCACTCTTTTAGTAATTATCATTTTTTTTTTTAAACAAACTATGCTTTAAGTATACGTATTACTAGATATGAATCTATATTTATATATGCATGAATTCGGGTGCTTCTATTATTAAATATTTTTTTTTTTTGGTTTTATTTCGATGTTTAATGTTTTATTTAAAAACTAGTTTTGACTAAATTAGCGCAAATTAAAATTCTATATATGTATGCATTTACTGTTAAGTAATTAATTTATTGTTTTTCTTTAAGAAGAATCAATTCATTAGTTTTCATTTAATATTTAACAATTAAAGCTTTGTAAATTTCAATTCAATTGTTTACCTTCATTTATTTCAATTATTTAAATATAACTTAAATACTAGAAAACTGCACTTTTCCAACAACAATTTACTTAACTTTTACACAAAACCAAATGCATGTGTATGTATATATATATCTCTAATTTATTATTTAAGCTATGCTTTAGCATATTAGGGAAAATTTGAAAAAAAAAAATATTTTCAAAAAATTTGTTAGCTTTAACCTAAAACTTTAAATTTTTCTTATACATACATACATATTTGGGAATTGATTTTTTTTCTACATATTTTTTCTGTTTTTATATTAATTTTAGTGAAATTTATTCAAATAATTTCTTCAAGTAGTTGAATTCAGCAAATAAGTATTACAAATGTTTCTTCATTGTTTTTGTTATTATTTTTACGCATATATTGTAAGTATTTATGTACAAAAATTATTGACACTCTCAACTAAACTTACGCATAAAAGCCGCTGGCTGTCCTTAGGCCTCCTAAAACCCCTATTGATCCACTTAAATTTTAAAATATCCTCAAATTGTGAATTATTTATTTATAAATGAGGCGAAGTATGTATACAAACATAAGTCGTTGCCAGGTTGCAAATTTAAAATGATATTGAGTATTTCGAAGTCTTTGAAGGAATTCAATATTTACTAATGTATATATGTACATGTATGTAGATGTGCTATTAAAAAATAAATTCACACGTGTAGCAGATTTTGATTGGTGTTTGTTTTTCAATGAGTTATTTCATTTTGAGCTATTATGTAGAATGTTCTTTGAGTGGTTTTTCTTCTCATGCCAAAATTATTATTCATGATCAGTACTCGGATTTTGATGACCTAACAACTAACAAAAATGCCCCCAATATACCATAAAAATTACCTAAAAAACTCAAAAAAATATCCCAGAAAAAGTTTAAAATTTACGAATTAAAAAAGCCTGGTGCTACATATGGTCACTAATTTTGATGTTTTCCATTGCAATCATTTACAATAAACTTTTCAGATAATATCTGTAAGTCCGTGGTTATGCCACCAATTTTAATTGGCAATCAAAAGAGAAAAATTTCGGTGATTGGTGAGAAGTGGTTACGCTCTGTTTGCTAATTGGCGAGCACAGGGTTGCTTCTTAAGAAATGCCTTTTTCCATTTCTCACGCCAATTTTTCAGGGTGGCAATACGATATTTTGCGAAAAAGTATTAATATTAAATATTAGAATAGTAAACAATATTTTATTATTATTATTATAAAGTAGATATTATAAAAAATATTATTATAAAAATTAAATATTAAAGAAAGAGAAAAATATTAATTTGTTCTCCCATTTTTCATTTTCCGACTTAAATTTAGATGCGTCTTCAGTTGCATTTTTACTTCAGTGCTGCCATTGTGTGCGAAATTTTATGAAATGGAAAAAGGTATTTCTTAAGAAGCAATGAAAGAATTCGCATCTGTGGTAAAATCTGGTATGTCCCATTTACAAAACGTCAATCCAGACGTTGAAAATTTAATCATTTTTGACTTTGATGATGCCTGAAAATAGCAATTTTATCAAACAGCAGCAAGATGCAGCAGACAATCAATACACANCAAAACGTCAATCCAGACGTTGAAAATTTAATCATTTTTGACTTTGATGATGCCTGAATATAGCAATTTTATCAAACAGCAGCAAGATGCAGCAGACAATCAATACACAAAAGGACAGTAGATATAATGCCCTTTTATCAGATATATGAATATATCTTATCGGACGATATCGGACAGAAAAATTCATACTCCACGAAAAAAGCACAATATGTTTAAATTTGTAAAATCATAACATACACTTGGAAACAGTGAATTTTTCAAAAACACAAATGTTATTTAAAACCACGATTGTTACAGTCAATAGTACATGCCATTAATTTTATTTTCCATTGCTAAAATGATTACACTTCAAACTTGTTATATACGTAAAAACACTGCAGTTCAATATAAGCCGTCATCGATTCGCCAACAGTTAGCGAGTGGCGAAACGAACGAACTCAATGAGGTACAACCAAACTTGCTAACGTCTATCCGTGCTAGCTAACTTTGTTTTTGCTTTCACATGCAAAATTTTTCGTTAAGCGACCGGAACTCAAACATAGCTAGCAGCGAAGTGGCGAATCGATGACGGCTATTATAAAATTCTAGCACAACCTAAAACCAAAACCACAAATTTTACGTTGACAGATAGAGGACCAGGCTTGCCTTGTGGTCATAAATTTATAATTTATTTTCTAATTAGCGTACCTAGAATAAAGTCGGCCTGTTAAAAATTTTGAAAGCAAAAACTGAAAATTGAATTTTTGATTGCAGAAAGTGCTTATTTCAGCCATAGTGCAATGGGGTAATTTGTAGTTGAGAATTCGAAGTCTAATATTTTAGAAGGCCGAATAAGTGCATTTATAACTATGAAGGCGAATACATGCATAGGTAATATGTCGTCTTTAATAATACATTTAAGTATGTACATATGTATTTTTTACATATTGCAAGTTTAATAAGAAAGATAAGTAGTTATTTCAAAATTTTAATTTTGTGGGAAAACAAATAAAATAAAAACATATGGTAAGACAACACACCTTCGGCATTTTTGGTGAGTATTCACGCTTTCCTGGTTAACGGGGTATTTGGTTCAAAATTATTATTGTGTAGTGTATTTTATTTGTTGTAAACTGAATAAAAAATATAACCACATAACCACATAAGCTGATAACCAGGCAAGCGTGAACGACCTCAATATATTTTTCATTGCATGATGAAATCTCAAAAAAGGTAAATTTTCAATCAAATCTCTATATTTGATAAACGCGCGATATATATGTATATTTCCTGGTACATTTATAGCTGCTGTAGTTGTGATGTATGTGTAACAAAGGAGTTTTTTTTTGTTATTTAAGTATAATTTCATAAAACATTATGCCACCCATTGCATGTGCTTTGTAAAGGGTAATGCAAGCGGTAATGTATCCACTAGATTACTTTCTAGCACTGTGTTTGTTAATACATGTACCGTGATGTATGTTTGCGTGTGGATAGTAGCTGTTACTTGAGCACATGTTTTTGTTTGTTGTAATTATTTATTTATTTATGTGGATGTATGTACATATATATGCATATGTACATATGTACATTTGTATATTTGTAATACATACAATAGTATTTATTTATTTTTTGTATAGAATTTTTGGCTTTCCGATGCAGTTAGTATTTGTTAAGTATTCGTAATTGTATAACTATATTTTTATATTTGGTTTATTTGCATACAGATATATGTACGTATCCTTTATATTGTATATGTTTTTATTTTATTAGTTACGATATATGATTGCATAGTAGTTATGTATGTATGTATATCTATTAGAAACGCGCTGTGCCGGATTTTGATCTCACATTCATAACGGTACATTTCGATTATTTCACTATTACCTTTTGTATTTGTATCGCATTAGCGAGATGCTATAGTTTAATAATAGGATATATGTATATGTATATGTATCTGAAAATACATATGTACAGAAATATATATGTACGTAGTATGTTTGTATACAAGATGATTAGTTAATGGCGACGTTTTTTTGTTTTTTTTTTCTAAACCGACTTCAAAAAAGTAGGATGGTTATCAATTCATCGGAATATTTTTTTCCTTTTTTTTATGTTGTTACCGAATAGCTTTGGACCAAGTGAACCGTTTTCGATTATTCTTTGTTTTATCGGAAATATTAATTTGGCTTAGTTGCGATCATTTTGTCCTGTAGAAATTTTTTTATTAGCATTGAAGTCGGTTGTATCTTTTGCTTAAAAATTACTTGTTTTAGGTTTATTTATATGTATGCATGTACGTATTGTGCATTGAGCATGAAGAATTATTGGTCATAATCTAGTTAGAGAATTTTAGAAAAAAAAAAATAGATGAAAATTCTTCAACATATGCATCTTCGTTCGGCTTTTCTAATAACATTTTAAAGTTTTACGGAGTGGCTTTTGAGACTGGGTTTGCCAGTATGTATACAGTATATCTGAATAATTGTTTGCCTATGTTCTGTTTATGGCGATCATTCAATTCTACTTTTGACATTGAGGTTTCTTATGAAAGCCATTAGCTCTTAGAAGGTAAAACTTCGAGTTGTAAGTATTATAGGATAAGAACGAAAAATGACACTGAAGATGGCACAACGCCGAAACCGGTTTGTCTGCAAACCAAACATGACAAGGGATGACAAAAATTCGTTCCAAAATAAATCATCTTACCACCCTGTCGGAAAAATCAACGAACACCAACACATATGATAGGAAAACTTCTGGTACACCAAATTCATGATTTTCGAAAAATAATTGCACAATGTACAAATCGTTACCTAAATTCACAAAGCCCTAACCAAGATTTTAGTAGGATGTATTAAAATACACTTTCAATCAAAATTTTAAAGTGTTAGTTAGTGTTTTTAAAAAGCGCCACCTTATTAGCTCTGATCCAATACTTTTCGTGTGAAATCCTGTAAAAATGTCAAACAGCAAAATTACTCTCTGAAGTGGGAGCAACATCCCAAAAGTACGGAGGCAGAGCAAAATGCTCTTGGAGTTTGACAACCATGGATGGATACTAATGTTTCCGCATTATTTTGTAATATAAAATATTATTACATATACATAGCAGCAGTTACTCCTAAGCTCGATCTAAATACCCAATGCACAACACAAATACATACATACATACATATGTTATGGTTGTAAATTGATGTTTTTTTAATCAGATATATTCAGTTTTAATCTCAAGACTCTTTTCGAAACGAAAGTAAAAACGTTTAAAAATGACAATTTTCCTTCGTCTACATACTTTGCCAATATTTATATGTATTTGGTGTAAATTCAAAGAAAGGGCAAAATCTGATATGTATGCATATACGCTCGTGTTAGACTGTTATGTTAGTGAGTGCCCAGTGTAATTGTCACATCGATAGTTATAGTAAAAAAAGATAATAATTCTTTGAAACCGCATTGCCAATAATTTCTGTTACGATTGCCAAAATTGAATTTCCAAGGTAAAATTTATGCATTTATTACATACATATGTAAACTTGAGTGAAAAACTTTGTGCCAAAATAAAAAAAAAATGCCAATAGGAACTTATGTGCAAGCAAGTGATAAATTACTGCCTACTTTTTCGTAAAACTAAACAGAAAGTACAAATTTATATGGCTTTCGCCAACTTAAAAAGGTTCCATACCTTTATGCCATGACAAATAAGAAGTTCCAAGACAAAAAAAAATCGCTAGAATTCCTATCAGGTATAGCCAGGCTGTCGTTGTGACAAAAACTAAAAGTCTTGCATAATATTTTTTCTCGGAAATAAAAATTAGGCAACAATAAAAATTATTAACTAATTAAAAAGATTATTGTTTGACTCTCTTTAATTTCCCCAGCAGATTTTAAGCTATGTATATTTTTTAATATTATTCTTAAATTTTTAATTAACTGTATATGCATATTTTATGTGCATTAGTTGTGAAAAAATATTCAATGGCACCTGAAAATCTCTTAAGTAGATACGCACTAATAACTGTTAGTAACAAAGATGAAAATTTACAAATGCGCGTGGTACATACACTTACAGGTATACATACATAACTATATGCGCTGCGTAAATAATTATGTATGAATGCATGTATGTCATATGCTCTTTAAATATTAGCCTAAATCAATAAATAAATTATGAAAATATTTAACATTTGAGTATACATAAGTGAAAATTTTTTTTTGTTTGATTTGTTTTTTTTTTAATTTTATTTTAAAGCTAATTTGAAGTGAATTCAAAACGAGTATAATTGCCAACAACCTAACCAAGCCACACTCCTTCACAGCACCGTCACACGCTTTCACTTTGCTTAACTATGTGTGTGTAGTGGCATTTTTGTTGTACTACTTTGGGGGATTTCGTGTAGGAGCATGGCTTCACTGGCGGCCCTTCATTCACTAACTGTAACACCATTTTCACCACATCCCCTGCATCTTGCTACCTCTAACTAGTACCCGCCTGCCTCCCGGCTACCCTTACATAAGTTGACATTTTTCCTTGGCACCGGCTGCACCATCGCCGTTTTCCGGTATGGCACCGTTACTTTCTTTGCCTTTCTTCTCCTTCTTCTGTTTCTTTTGCTTTTTAACATCTAACTGCAGTGACACAACGCGCGATTTCTCCATGTTGAGCAGCTCCTGAGACACGTACATACATACATATGTACATAGTATAATTGAAGATAAGTACAGAAATGTTATTAGGCATAAATATGCATTTGTATAAGTACATAGGTACGCACGTGTTATACATATACATAATGTCTTTCAGGCAAATTAGCATAATTTCATTTTCAATATTTGCTAACACACATTCATTCGTACAAAACAGCTCGAAAGCTCACCGTCATCACTACACTTTCTACATTTTGCCACTTACCTGAAATAATTCGGTGACGTTGTGATTGGTTTTGGCCGATGTCTCCATGAACGATATGCCCCAGGTGGTTGCCTGTGCTTGCCCCTCAGCTTCTGATACCTCACGCAGCTCGGCACTTTCATCGCTCTTGTTGCCCGCCAACATGACTGGTATGTTGACAACGTCCGGACCCTGCGGCCAAATGTGCGAAAAGATGCGAGGCAAATGGGAAATTTGAAGTTAGAGAAAATTACATGTATGCGCAAGATTGCTTTTAAGTTAGTTATTCTTTAAGTACATACATATGTATGTATGCAAGCCTGTGTATGTATGTGAGTGTACATATGCATGGTATGTGTGTGTTATGATATAATTAATGTAGAAATTATTGGTTATTACCTTAAGATCCTTAATGTTTTGCCAAATGGGTCGCAGCTCCTCTAAACTTTGCTTCGAACAAACAGAGTAGACCAGTATAAACGCATGACCCTTGGTTATGGACAGTCTTTGCATAGCCGGAAATTGGTGTGAGCCTGTTGTGTCGGTTATTTGCAGAGTGCAAATGTTTTTATTGCAGCTTATAACCTAATTGGAAATGAATTGTAATCGAGTGTGGGAAATGGCAAACAAGTTGGTTAGCAATCTTTGAACGAAATAGTACTTTTTCTAATTGTGAAATATTGCATACTCGCATACTCGTATATTAATTCTAATTTAAATACATTACGAGGCAGCATTTATGTACATTTTCTATTAGCGAATAAGTATTTATGAAACTTGTTTTAAAGATAATTTGAGTAAGTACATAACAATTAAGTTGGATTAGCATTGATGGTTGTTCTAGCCTTTCCTAAATAGTAGATAATTGAGTCAAGAAACATGTGATTAGCTGAAGAGAATGATGTCTAGAAGAGAGGATATAGAGTGAATTGATTACTGGTTTCAGCAGTAAAATTTTCTGTTAAATCCACATATGAAGTCAGGTATAAAGAAACTAGAAATAACGCAAAATTAAAATTTTTTGAGTTAAAAAAATATCAGTTCACTTAATTCGAATTATTTACACACCTTCGAATATGGTTAGGTGATTTTAGAGTTCTTTATATGAAATTAATAAAAAAGATAAATTTGTTTATCAAAAGTGCCTAGAATACATCAGTACCCCTTGAAAATTTTTATATCTTAACTAAGCTTCTATTGAAAGGGCTAATTAAACCTTAAGATATTGTTTGGAAACCCAATAAAATGTTGCTTTTAAGGAAAAAGGGCCTAACCCGACTTAGGCTACTTTAATTGAACGGCACAGATATATATGTACATTAGGGCGGGTCAATTTATATGGAAGATTTTTTTCGACAATGCGCCTATAGCACAAAAGGATTCTACGTGTAAATCTGAGCAAATTTGGCAAAGAAACAATGGGTCTTAGATCAATTTGGAGTTTGCCAAATTGCGAAAATAGGTTCTTAGCATTTTGCCGCAGTGTCGCAAAGTGTTTAAATTTGGTATGAAAACATACTATTCTGTATTCGTTGTATATTGATAAGTGAAACTAAATAAGCATGAGACTTTTTGGGTGCGTTCAGAAATGCATCAAGCCAAAGCATCAGTCTTTTTTATTTCTAAACTATAATTGATAGAAATATCAAATATGCGCAACCACGGTTATAAGTCGGAATTGGAACTTAGTTGCGTAAATAAGACATTTCCATTAATTATAGGTTAGAAATAAAAGATACTGATGCTTTGGCTTGATGCATTTCTGAACGCACCCGTTGTTGGTAGTAGTACAATAAATACACTTGCAACAACAATCACACGCATATCCAGTTATGGTGGGGTGCAATAAGGCCATACGCAATAAAGCCATATTGGAAATAAAGCCATATTTTTTTGGTAATAAGGCCATAAATTCGATATGTCTTTATTTCCAATTACAATTGGTAATTAAGCCATATGGCTTTATTTCGCGGCGCGGCGCGGTGCGGGGAGCCAGCAAATGTGCACCCGCCAGGTTATGCACTCGCAAAATTAAAACTTACCTAAGTACATATATTTATTTTTCAATATCCAATAAATCCGGAAATATTAAATAATGATTTATTTCATTTTATTAGTAATAATTTCTATAAATTTAAATAATTCAGTATCAGTTACAAGAGTGTATCCAAGGCGAATTTAATAATGAATTACAACAAACACATCATTTGGACGTAATGTTCAGATAAAATTCAGATTCGCCGTTAACACCGCCTTGAGAGTGTCATTTCAGAATATGGCTTTATTTCTCATTTGCAAAATTTTTTGTATGGCTTTATTTCTCTTTCTGATTGGAAATAAAGCCATATGGCTTTATTGCCTAAAAATATGGCTTTATTGCCATATGGCTTTATTGCTTATGGCCTTATTGTACCCCACCTCCAGTTATACTTATACAAGATACAACAAATACACAAAAGAGCGAATACCCATACAATAAAGGGTTTTTAGGCATGAGGAATCCATTTCTGCACTTATCTTTTTCTTAAATCTTCCACCAGAGGGCGCAATAGTGAAAATTTTCTCATTTTTTTCGAAACGCATGGTAAAACAATATTGTCCCGCCCTAATGTACATACTTTGCTGTTAAACTTTTGGTTTGGGAACTATGTATTTATGAAAATTTAATGTAAATTACGTTTTAAAGAAACTTATTTATTCCGATTTCTTTTTAGACAATCCATGTATGAATTTTTACGAAGAAAATAAATTCTGTACCATATGTTGATCGGTTTCCTTAACACATAATTTACAGGGATCTTGCGTAAAATAGTTCTCCCGAAAGCACCCAAAGCCTTCTTATCTTTGTTCGACATCGTCCACGTTTCTGCGCCATATAAAAGAACGGGCATGATGAGAGACTTGTAGACCGTGATTTTTGTTCGTCGAGAGAGCGCGCTGCTTTTCAATTGCCTACCGCGCACAAAGTAGCGCCTTTAGGCAAGAGTTATTCTTTGTTTGATCTTTGCTGGATCCTAGGTAGACAAAGTCCTTCACTACTTCAAAGTTATAGCTGCCAACAGTGACGCGTGGAAACTTTGTATGTCGCCAGGAGGTACTTTGTTTTGTCCTCGTTCATCGCTAGGCCAACCTCTTTAGCTCCTTTTTCTAAACTGGAAAATTCTGCCATTCTACTTTCTTTATATCTGATTCAATATTAAAAATGTGAATGCTCTAGCTCAAAAGAGCAAGTAAGTTTAAATTATATGTTGCATAAACATAAACTGAATAACAAAACAAGTAAAGAAGTCTAAGTTCGGGCGAAGCCGAGCACTATGTAAATACCCGGCGCACATATTTATCAAATATATTTAGGGGATTCACAAGACGTGTTAACCGTCGTAAAATCTTAAGCTTAACACTTGTTTATGTAAAATAGCGGTTAAAATGGTTGGGGGGTTGGCTAATTATATATTCTTTATCAGTTTAAAAGAATTTCGGTTTAGTTAGAAATCCCCTAAAACCATTTTAATTAAAAAAGATGTTAACCTTAAGATTTTACGACGGTTAACACGTCTTGTGAACCCCCTAATTGATTTAACCTTTCAGAAAACTACCGTTACATGGTAAGCAGGGGTGGTTTTAGCCCTATTTTAAACATTTTTGATAATATTCCCAGTTATTCTTAATGAAATAATTGAACCAAATTTTGCAGAAATCGATTAAGCGGTTATCGAGATAAACTTCTGTAGTGATAAGCCGGCGATGGCACACCAATTTTCCAAAAATCCATAATAATTTTTGGTTGTCAAAACCGAGTTTACACAAACCTTTCATAGCGTGTCCCAGTTCCTCATGACCGACTACTCATTCAGCTAGGTCATTGTATCAAAAATCAGCTAATATTAGAAGTTTATCCTTTTTCAAGGAAGATATTTTTTTGTGTTCGAATCAGTAAAAAAAGGCAAGTATGTTTGTTCTATTGAAACAAGCGATCAAAGTAATTTTAAGTATTTAATTAAAATTTATATTAAAGGACTATGTAAGTCTGATGCCACTAACATAACATAATTGTACGTGTACGTTTATTTATGGAATCTTGTAATTTTATTCTGAACATTACACACCCCACGTACGAAAATAGCTAGGCTCTAGCTTAAAATTTCAAAGTAACCCAACGCGCAAAAGCTATAATGATCGAAATTAAAACAATCTTTAAACAAACTGCAAACAGTTATGAACGAGCAACTCGTCACAAAACGAACAGTACATTCACGACTGTTATAATCCCAAATATGAATTTTTTACATGATGAGTGACGAGCCCTGAATTTAAAGATGAGAAATAATAATATTTTCCTAATAAAAGTTTTCCCTTTACTCCACTTTTACATTGCATAATTTTTTACTACACTCTTAGTATCTTTCTTTTAGTGGGTATATATTTACATACATATATAGCGCCACGTTTCCACCTACGCACATCAAAGTATAACCATTAACGCTTAGATGAGTGCGTTATGCCCGCCCGCAAATCCATTTATTGTGTGTACATATGTATATAAACATTTACAGTTATGAGACGATAGATGGAACCGAAAAAGGACTTTATCGTTAAAAAAATTATGCTTTCTGGGCTGGGAATTCATCAGACTTTCTTGAAAATTAAATAATGTTCTTAGACATATTTCTGTGTTTGTTGAAACTTGTAGTTTTATACCGCCTACGGCAAATTGACAGATCTGGCCCGCAATTATTTGAGCGCTCCACCCGCCAGCGTTCCATGCATGCAATACGAATTCTCATATTTTTGTTGCCAAAAAGCCATAGTACAACATATTCTTATTCCGTATTTCTTTTCACATTTATTTGTGAAATCTGAATCTGATGTGTCAAGCGTCAAGTGCAACAACGCGCAAGGTTATGGGTCAAGTGTCTGTCAAATGAGATGGGTTGCCTTTACATTTGATATTATCGCATGGTAAACAAACATGATGGGTATTACCATGTTTACCAAAAACAAAAAAGTGAGTACATTTATCTATTGAAAATTGGTTGAAACGAACCTTTCAATCTTTATAGAAAGTGGTTCGGTTTTCGGTTCGGATCAAACATTTGTGGAAAATTTCGGTTGGGTTAATGGTTCAGTTAATTAATAGAAAAGAGCGGTTTTCCGGTTCAAAATCGGTTCACGTCCCTGTTTTAAACACAGTATGTAAACTTCATTATTTTCTCTACAAAGTATTTTTGTAGATTGTGCTCTCCATGCATGACAATTTTCCCAAATCGGTTGACTTTGATGGTCATATCAAAATCGCTTCCTTTTTCAGTAACGTCAGAATATAAATTTCGAAGACAAATACACCGACATTAATTCAAATTCAAGTTTCCATTATTTTCATTTCTCATAAGTACTGCTATAAAGCTTCCCTTATACCACAAAAAAATTTTTACTTATAATATTTTTGTCGGCAAAAAAATTTAAAAGAAACGTCCGAACATAACGTCCGCAAGCATGGGATTTGCCCATATGCGAGCCTCTTAGAAATCGCTACATGGGAGAAAAGGCAGCAAAATTATATTTTTTGAAATATAATGTGCCCCTTT